GGAAAAAAAAAAAAAGAAGAAAAAAAATAGAAATAGAAAAAGGCAAGAAAGAGAAGAAAATATTTAGAAAAAGCCAAAGAAAGAAAGTTATAAAAAAAAAAAGAAAATAAGTTGCAACAAAAGAATAAATTTGAAATAAGGCATTCCATGGTGGTTTGAAGAGCAAGGATTTTTGTTTCAAAAGTTTAAAATCTGCACTTTGGTGTTCTTTTATGATTGTACTTAAGCTCACTTTGAGTTGATTCTTTACTACTCATGCATTTCACTTGTTAGTCCATTCATTTATTTGGCCTTGTTTTTTTCAACATTACAACCCTTCAAGTCCCCTTGATCATGAACCTAAGGTATGTTAGTGGTGGAGATATTAGAATTTCTACAAGCTTATGGTAGGTGCTAATCTAGGTGGATTGAGTGAAATTTTTCCCATTTGAGAGATGAGTGAAACCTTGTACCCTATGTGAGCTCTGTTATGTTTCTCTTCTTTTATCCTGCTATATTTCTTGTGTTAATTTCTTTGCACTGAAGTATTCTATGATTGTTGATTAATTAAGAATAAAGGTTGTTTGAGTTAATTGCACATTCATGCTTAGTTGGTTTTATGTTTGCTTGCATTGAGTGTCTCTATTGGATTCTTTTTTTTAATGATGTTTTGCCCAGGAGTGCAAAAGGCTAAGTGTGGGGGAATTGACAAACTCAATTATTTTGATATATTTTGGTATCTTTTATATGAGTTTTGTCAGCTTAATTGGTCCCTTTTTGCCTTAATTGATTTATTTTGTTTTATTTTGAATTATTATTTTATAGGGGCAAAATTGTCATGTTTTGATTTAATTATGATTAATTGATTTTTAAGGACAATTAATGCTACCTTATTCTTGAATTTTGTTTACAGGTTTTTGGAAGATTTAAAAATAAAAATGAAAATTTAAAAAAAAAAAAGAGAAAAAAAAAGGAAAAAAATATAATAAAAAAATAATTAAAGAAAAAGCTTTTTATAGTTAAGGTTACTTGCATTTATTTACTAGGATTCAATTTCATTTTCGACTCCTCAAAGTGAATACGACCCGAATTGTGCACTATATTGCATTAATTCGGTTAATTTTTGGAGTAACCCCAAAGCGACAATTAAGGGAAGTTCAACTTCAAGGTCATTCGATGACTTAAAGTGTATACATGTCTATAAATCAACTAGTATAAATAAAAGTGTATACATATGAATAGATTTTAGTTCATCACAAATAAAATTTACACATAATTATACAATATATCAATGGATAATTTAGATGAAAGGTTTATGCACATGTATTTTGCTAAAAATAAAAATGAATGTGTGTATTGAACGATATGCAGTTATTATAATTAGTCATTTAATATTCGCAACTTGCTTATATATGGCATATTCACATCTAACCTTTTGCAATTTATAAATGGCATGCATAAGGCTGAATACTCGTTTACAATGAACATTATGGGATTTACGTACAACTCGCTTATAACATATTTACAATTAGGCTTTGCAGATATAAAAAGGAAGGAAAGAGTTTGGGACCCAGCGATTCAATTTCTTGGTTATTGAATGAGGGAGAAAACGAAAGGCAATAGAGGGATGAGCTGGTATTCTAAGAGGGGCAGATCCATATCCATAATTATAAGGCCTAACTAAAGAACAGAAGGTGACAGCTTCCAATAAGGAGACGCCAGGCACTTAAATTGAAGCCTTCTTTCTGGAACCATAATATCCCAATCCATGACCGTCAAAATGGAACGGTTCCTCAGGCCTTTAATTTAAATATACTATCTATTCATATCACATTTAATATTTCAATTCTGCCTTGTGATTCATGTTCCAAGATATTTGTTACATTGTTAGTTACGGTAATTTTAATGTCTACACAGAGATGACGAAGGTTTGTGTTACATCATTCCATTTATCAAACAAAAATTCAAATACTCTCGTTCTACCTTTATCCATAAAAGGAATGTAAAGCCTCCACTACTTACAATTTATGACATCAATTATTAAAACTCTAAATGGCATATATGAAAATCACTAGATATTTTTATAACAACACTCTATATTTTATATTTTAGACCAAAAAAAAAAAAGATCTTCTGAAAATGCTATTTTCCATGCGCTGTGGCTTCACTCCCAGCGGCTTAAAGTTGTAAGGTCTTTGTCTGGATATTAACATTTGTAAAAGTAAATTTTACTCTAACTAACTTTCACAAATTGAAGTTAAGCTAAAAGTCAATTAATTAATATAACATGATTTATGTTTAGATATGTTTTTAAGGGGGAAAAAATCAGTTTAACTGCATAAATTCATTTAGATGATACATTGAAAAGTCACTTTCAGATTCAAATTTAAAGAAAAATCAAAAACAAAAAAAAAGTTGCTTTAATTTCAACTTCACTTTTGATCCAAAAACTCGTCTTCCAACAGTCATCCCCAAAACATATATTTTAACACAATCAAACTGACTATTTGGCTTCAAAACTCACTTTTTGAAGATCCAAAATGTGATCGCATGCATATGTCTTAACAACATTCAGTGTCCAGAGCATCATCCTAACGTAAGCTTTAATTTGTTAGAGGAATGAGTGTGAAGAAGACGGTAATAAATTCAAGTTGAAGTTGCTGGCACTTACTTGGACAAAGATTAGCCCAGAGTGGATTTGCAGAAGAAAGAAGTAGTAAGGAAGCAAACTAATCAATGATCGGCAGTGCCAAAATAATTCAAAGATGCTTCGCCATTTGGTGTGATTTTTCCTAAACATGCAATAGAATTATGACACAAAATGAAATTAAATGTTACATTTCTTGTCTAACAAAAATTAATTTCAAGTCCAAAGTGACTTAAAAAAGATTATGAGTTTATACTACACAAAAAGGGCCTGCAAAAGCGGACCTAGACTTCGTTGGTAAACACAAAAGAAGGCGGACGTGGGCTTCCAACAAAAGGTAAAAGTACAGTTTAACCCAAAATAAGTTCGTTTCTGAAGGGAATGGATTATTGGTTTCATATTTTAGAATAGCATTAATTTATTTCGATTTTTTTTCATAGAGTGAAATATATTTTTAAAAAAAATAAAAACTCCAAAATAAAAAATTTAAAATTTAAAATAAAAATAATTTTATATACTGTAACTTTTTTAGAAATGAGTTTATTATTAAACAAATTATAAATTAAACCTTTAAATTTGAATTATTGAAATTAAATTTCAACGATGAGCACAGAACAAGAACGATTGTTTTTAGTTTTTTACTCCCACCCCCACACCACTTTCATTACCTAAGCCAACCTAGCGACATTATGTATCATTATTTTCTTTAATAGATTGAAATATTCCAACTCAATGTTTTGTGTGAAATCTTGTAGTGGTGGATGTTTTAAGACAAAATCAAAACTCCACGGTAGTAGATATTTCCAATTTTTAAAAGGAGTGCCTTTCGTGAAAAATATACTAGTCATCCTATCTTTATCAAAAGGCACTATTTATAATCTGAAATACAAGTCACTTTATAAAAAGCCGATGACATTAAATTTTTCTTTCTACAATTGCCCTTATTAATTGTATTGCATAGAGAAGCTATATAAGAAAGAAATTAAAGGTAATTCAGATAGGTTGATTTTAACTGGCAGGCAATATTAGAAAGTATTAATAATTTTTTACTATTTTAATGACGCAAACTACTTTTAATGCTTTTTCTTAATTTTGAAGAAGTGATTGAAAGTACTCTATCTTATAAGAAGGAGAGGGAATAGCATCAAACTTGACAGTGTGTGGGGGGAAAAGGAAGAGCACAATAACAGAATGGAGACAAAGAGGCACCATGTTGCTCCATTAATGAAGTTTGGAAGCTTATCATTGTGGCCACCAATTCTCATTCTTGCATTTCATGTGAACTTGTTCTGCCAATTAATTGCACCCACCATTTTCACCATCACCATTCTATCCTGAAAACCATGCAAGCCCAGTACTCTTCTCAGTGCTTTCCTTAACTCTCACCTCCCTTCTCATCATTCTCTCTTTTCTTTCTATCAGTAGTTTTTACACCTCCTTCTTTATACTGTGACCCTATGAATACGATGAGTTTTTCGAATAAGTCCTGTGATGCCAACTGTTTCAATCGTGGCAGTACGATAAAATAAAGGGAGTTACATTTCGATTAATAATTGTCGTTTTTCATTGAATGATATGCATTTGATCCGTCAAAACAAAGTTTGAATCATACATTTGCCCCATGCTCCGATTCAGATTCATTGAACTGTCCTGCCTGCCTATATATATCTTTGTAATTATTGATCATACTTAAACTCCTCTGTAAAAGCGGAACCATTTAGTCACAGCATACTGACGAATTTTACGCACATATAGAGAAATTTCACTAATATGGAAAATAAACTCTGATAACCTCCTTCATCTATGGAACTAAGATCCCATGTCCTCTATGCGCCTATTCGAGCTAACCTTGTTTGGTGGTCTCCATTTTCTTCGTGAAGTTGCAATCGTCTTGCAGGTACTCAAACCAGAGATCTCAAAAAAGCGTACGAACAAATATCTTTGACAAGGAAATTTCAGTCATGGGGACCATCCGCTGCTTCTTATTAAAGTATTGGTTGGGTTAGAGATATCCCTTCTCGTTAATAAAGAGCTCAGGAATCTTTAATTAACTAACATCTCAAAAGGTTAAACTAATACTACAACTCAGAACTGTCAAGGACAGGAGAGAAAGGATGGAGACAGAGACAGAGACATGCATAGAGATTAGAGACACTCTTCTTAGCTGTCCAATTAATTGATAACCGCTTTTACCTCCACATGTTTATCGCGAATCTCTGATTCACAAAGACACTGGTCATCATGGTAAATCCAGAGTCACGCCGAGATTTCACCATTTTTGCCTCGCACTGGTGACAATAAAACTGGTTGGTTATTTAATTTGAAGTTTTTATTTTCTTCCCCCAGAAAATTGTTCCTTTTTTTTTTTTGGGCGAACGCTATTACTGCTATTATTCCTCTGCCAAAAGCTAAAAGACACAATACAAACAACAACACTTAGTACTACAAAACAGGAACGCAAAAAACTCGACTCTCGAATTTAAAGTTATGTTTTGTCTTTTGTTTGGTCCCTAGAAAAACACAATTTACGTTCTTGTCTTCCCCCTCATCTGCTTTTTCTAGCCTGCAGATTTATCAAGACGTACCAGGGACCATGTCAAAGTTATATTGTCCATCGAATTTCATCTCGTACTCTAATCGCTCTCTTTTTTTCTGCATCACCAAAGTGGTCCTCGATTGATGGAGAGGCAAGAGCATTAAAATTCCTCTGTTTCAGATCAGCATTGTTCGATTTGAGAAATCTGGAGCGCATGACTATCACCGTAACCAGCTATTTTCCTTCTCTTAATGTCCTTCTCTTGTCTCAGAGTAGAGGCAGCAATAGTAATTGAGCCGGTTTTTGTGCTTTCTGAGCTCAGAAAATGATGGTCTAACACATTAATAGGTGTCTCCGAACTTGAAACCAAATCGAACGCAGACTCGTTCCCCTCCATTGTTATGTCTTGTATCACATTATTGCACTTCAATATATTTTCCTGCATTAAAATCATAATACCCACTATTAACTATAAATCAGAGGAACTCTATGTTCTTATGCTACCCAGTTTTATAACCACACGAAAGTGAGACAGAAAAAGGAAAAAAAGAAAAGAAAGAAAGATAATGAACTGAAGGGTGAGAGAGGTACTTTATTTACATATGCACAATCGAATATTGCTCTTAAGAAGCAAGGGTATTGGAAAGGTAGCAATTCGTGAGACGCAGAGAGAAGGGCTGATGCAGCAACTACAGAAGGCTTAAATTCCAAGAGCCTTATCTCTGCGAAACAGATGAACATGATTGTTCTAATAAAATCCAAATGAGAAATTAAAAAAAAAAAAATTCTGATTCAGATGAGATCATCCCAGTATTGATTTGATTCATACCTTTCTGTGATCTGATTATAATTTCAGTGGCTCGTTCTTTCAGAACATGCCTCAGTGGCAGGTCCTTGAGTCTGAGCAAAGCAATGAAGAAGGGAACGAAAGAGAAGGGAGTGATCGAACGCATTCGCCATTTTAGAGCTCCTAAGATAAGTAACTCCATTCTTCGCACTGTTGGGGCCTCAAAGATCATACCCCCTTCACCCTGTTTCAGAAAGGCCTAGTTAAAACACCCTTAACGAATATTTGCCCGGAAGGATATTAATTAGTGTCAGGCTTAGCGTTTTCACCTGTATATCAGAGACAGAAAATTCTGCTCTCGTCATCTTGGCGGCTAGAGAGAGGCAAGAGACTGCAAGGAGCCTGAGGATCCATGGCTTTGGTTGCTGCTAAATACTAAATTTGAGTAAGAACCTGAGATATTCGAATCCAAAATCCAGAGAAAGTGATAATGCAATTGGTTTCCTTACCGAAATGCCTTGGTTGGCAAGGAAGCGATCCACATAGTTAACAGCAAGGTACGACAAGAGCGGATCAAATGTGCAGGACAACTGAAGCAGGGCAAAACAGCCCAAGTTCAGATTACATTAACATGTAGTATTATAAAGTTGAAAAAAAGAACCAAAGTTTTGTTTTTGTACCTGGTAGATTAAAGAAATGACCTCTCTTCTAACTGTGATGTCGAAATCTCGGGACTTGAGAGTGCGAAAGTAGGTTTGGGGTGGGATGTGATGAGATTCGATGAGAAAGAGAGAAGAGGGAGGGTCGCAAAAGTTCTGCAAAGGATTTTCAAGGTCAAACTCCATGGACGAAGCTAAGCAGTGGGAAATTAATGCTCAGAGGATGTGAGATGAGAAGGAAGAGGAAGAGGAGAGGACATTGATAAACAGCAAAAAAAAAAAAAGATTTGGGACGAATTGGTAAATGGAGGGGGTAAGGAGGAGCATTGATGAGAAGGTGTTGCAGGGTGTGAGTGGGTAATATAGCAAAGAGAGCGAAGATGGTCCCGTGGCGAGTGGCGAGTGGCGAGTGTTGATGGCTGCATGAGAAAGGATCATATCATGATGTGCAGATGGCACTCCTGCATTGGTGGGACGCCCAAACCTCCCTCCACTCTTTTCCTTTCTCTTTGACTTGTTTATTTCTCATTTTTCTCCATCTTAATGATTTGACATAAATGGTTTCAAAAAGTTTCGTGAATTTCTTCTCTTTATTATTCCATCTCTCTTTCTTCCTGCACACAGCACAATTGGCAATGTTAGTAATTAATTAGTATTTTAATTCTTTCAAAAAATTTGGTTCGCATCCCAAGCACACCCTTGCATATTGAGCATCAATGCAATTTTCTCTTTCTGCGATAAATATAGTTGTAATTCAACAATGAAGGGCATTTTTGAAAGAACACAATAAATGTTACACTATCTTTAATAAATTTTATATTCTCAAGTAACAAGAACTTCTAGAGCTTGAGTCCAAAAAAAAAAAGAACTTCTAGAGGGATCTCATACTTAGAATAGCAAAAGTACTAAAATAGATTAGGGAGAATTGCAATAGAATCTCAGTTCCGTAGATTTATTCAAGGATCAAGTGTAGTTAGGTTGAGTGAAGTGAACTTCATTTTTTTTCCCCTAAAGCAAGATCAAAGTTTGACGGCAGAAAAAAAGAGAGAGAGATCAAAGTTTGAATTTTGTGATTCAAAAGAATTGCATCAGCGAGAGTTAGCCTGATTAAGCCTAACAGCGTTCTAAAAGATATTTCAATTGGGAGATGTGCAGCTATGATTTTTCTAATATATATTTTTAAATAATCTTTATTTTACTGCAACTAATCAGCATCAAGTTAGATGGAAACAATTGTTACTAGATAAAAATATGCACGCAAGATGACAATAGTTATGGGCTCAGATTCAATATCTGATCCGATGTATTCCCTTTTTTGGGTACATATTAGATGTGCCCCTTCTTTTATTCTCAGCTTTCATTTTTTTTTTTAAACCTGGAGATAAGTTATTCACCTTTTTTATTAAATAAAAAGATGGATTATTTATGCAGATTGCTTTTGTATTTAGAGTCTAGTTTTTAGATTAAATTATACATGCATCAGTGGTATTGCATTCACCGGCTTAATTCTCGCAATAATGCTAATTAAATGATGACAATTGATCACCAATGCAGATCCTTTTGTCCGAGGAAAATGATTAATGAATTAAGAAACAATCGCGTGTGTGTTTTATATTAAATCAATTGGAAAATAGGAGACAAAGTGGGGGCTACGATGATCCTACACATGAATTGTTAAAGGAAAAAAGGATAGTGACAAGTTTGAAATGCAGGTTGCATCACACAAAACAATGTAACTACTCAAAGCGTTAAAAGGAGACCATCTTTCTCTACTCAATTAAATGCCTTCAAACATTACAATACAGCCTTTTTCTTCTTCCTTCCCACTTTGACAGCTTGTATTCATTCAATGTAATGAGACTATCCATAACACAAAAACAATTCACACTCTTATTTTACTACTCCCTCCGTTCCTTATTATAAGAGACATTTGATGCTTATGACATGTTCCTATATATAAGAGACACTTACAAGTTGTCTCTACTTTTTTGTGTTGATTTACTATTTTACCCATATTTATTATCTCCAACTCACACTCTCTCTCCCTCCCACTTCTCTTTCTTTTAATAATTTAATTGTTCTCTCTCATGCTCTCTCTCCTTATTAATGAGGGCATTTTTAGAAAAAAATTATATTTTTTACATATTAATTATTCTTAACTAATTTTAACTGTTTTTTTGATCAACGTACTTCGGTTATTTGTCTCTTATAATAAGGAACGGAGGGAGTATTAACTAAGCCTCCCTTCTAATCAAAGCATCCGTAATCTACCCACCAGAAGTTAACCTTTTATCAGGCAACTCTAACAAGTTGAATTAAATTATGCACGTATGTCACTTCTGTTTTGTTAATTTATTATTTTTTTTTTTCACGGATAGATTAATTGGTGTGTACATAGTACTGGTGTTCATGTATGTAAGATTAGCTCACAGAAAAATCTCTGGAAATTATGTAGGGAAGGGCTCAAATTTCTTCTCAACTAATTTAACGGGCACTATTCGATTGATTTCATGCAAATGAGTTTACTGAAGCAGTACTACCTTGTTTGGTGTCCATAAAGTACTGGCCTCGTGTTAATAGCATTTAACTGTACTATATAATTGTAACTAATAGTAATGTTTCTGTGAAGTTAGTTTCGAACGCCCTTTTAGTTAGTTTCGTCTCTTATCCAACTTTTAGAACTTCCGAGCATCCATTCATGAACGTACAATTATACATCGTAAGCTTACATCACAGAAATTACGTCATGATAAAACCTACAAAAAAAAAAATCACTTATCAGCATGTTCTAAACCACGAACATGCTAGAAACATGATTAAAAGAGCTCATGTATGTAATGCGTATCAGTTTGCAAATGTGTTCGCATCAAATCAAATTGCCACATATATAGCAGCAGGGGCAGAACCAGGAAATTATCAGATATAGTTGGGTCCGCCAATACTGTATATATAGCAGTACTTTGGTTGCAGCTAGCTGAGTAAATTTTGCTGATGGCTAACCCCCTCAATTTAATTTTAGCCAAATATATATACGGGACCATCTTGCTGCAGTACTAAACCCTTCAATTCAATTTAATCATCACTGACACATTCATTTTAGTTACGATCCATGCTGGTCGCAGTGGACTTAACCATATTCTTGCCCTCTATCGATGTTTATCAGATCCTGCAGAATATAACATCCATAGCCACGATATTATCAAAATAATATCGATGATCGTTTTTAAAGCTCGGTGATCTACGGGAGCTTAATCAAAAACCCCATCAGGTGAGAAAAATAAAGCTCGTGTGTGTGTGTGAAGTCATTGTGAAACCCAAAACTTTAAAAAAAATGGCACGCAGCCTAGGGTTCTCTCTCATGGAATGCACATGCCTTTGAAACCCATTTGGCCATTTATTTATTACTTTGACTTGTCACTTTAGGCCGGCGACACCCACATGCATATGGAGGCAGGTCCTTTTATTTAAAGGGGACAACAATACAAGATAAAAATGACAGAACTTTTATCACTAGATTTTTAGCACAAGAACAAATGAAACTACATTAAGAAAGTGACTTAATTCATTATTAGGGATTCGGGAATGTAAGCTCTCGTAGATTTTTGGCCCTTCAGTTTAAGGGAAAAATAATGAGTGGTTTCACATATCGTGAATAAAAGACATTATTGTCTCTGTTAAGGATCATGATCAACTGTGTTAGTCAAAAGCATATATATCCTATAAGTTAATTTACAGAATTTGGCTGCTATGCATATGCCATTAGACAAAGATATGAAAACAAAAAAGTTTAAAAAGAAAACAAATTCCTATTGTCCCCCCCTCTACGTTATTAATGTTAAGAATATATATTAACTGTTGGTTATGATTAGCGTGGTAACAATAATTGACTCAGAATGCAGTAATTAAGTGGCTTTTGGGGGAAAATAGTGCCATTACACAGTACATCTTTTGTTCTATTTTTAATGTCTTAACCTAATTCTCTTCTGTTTGGCTGAGACCATTCATAACAAGTCATAATTACTCTAATTCTAATGTTTTTATTAGGTTATAGTTGGGGATGCCGTATAATTTTAAATCTGTCCAATTAATGAAGCATGTCGCCGCGCTCTAGGTAGGATTTTTCATTTAATTTGATGAACTAAAAGAATGTGTATATAAATTTAATTTGCATCCATTTGGTCAGCATAATTACTCCAGTCGTGACTCTTGACCGCTCTATGCATATATAGCAAGACTGGAGGAGGTTTGGTAAAGATGAATTGTCCAAATTATTATTGATGATTGAATTAATTAACACGATGGCTAGCGTACGTGGCTACGTTAGCCTAAAGGCGAAAGCTATCACATTATTAATTGGAAGGGTTTTCAACTCCATAGGATCCTACTGCTATAATATAATTAAGAATTTCATTCATCAATCTCTTTGGGAAAGCAGATATAGATTAATAAGTAAACTGAGCTTCTGATGATGATGGGGGATAACCTGTAATTAAAATTAAAGTTTGGGGACATTTGGGTTAGCAACTTAGCATATGTTTGATTATTGAGTGATGAAATGCCATTGAAGAACGTTCCGATTCTTTGGAGTTCCTTGAAGCTCGCTCGATCTCTCAGCTGGCACATTTATTACATGTATGAGGAATAGCCAAGATCTTCTCTTCCTTCACTTAAACGGTGCGTTGAGTACCAAAACTGCTGCCCACTTTTAAATGCCAAATGAAGACACAGACATGAGTGTTTGGAGAATTTTGAGGACAAGGAAAAGAGGAGTGCACGCTTGGAATTATTAATGTATTATATACACACACACACACACACACTTTATGAAGCAAACCCGAGAAAGAATGAAAATAATTAATTAGTGTGAGAGAGAGAGAGAGAGCATGATGAGATGAGAGGAAGAGAAGGAAGAAGGAATGGTGGAGATTTGCAGAAAACATCGTCATATGCTCTGATTCGATCTGCAATAGAGGGGGCAGAAAACACAGTGGTCCTTCACTATACTCTCCCTATTATTTTTCAATTTATCGATTCACATCATGAGTTTCCAAAGCTCAACACATATATAGCATTACTACTTCGTGTTTGCCTTTCATTAATCCCTCAATGTATTACAAATTACTTGTTTCCTCACCTCAACAAATTAAATACTTTGCTATATAACAAACTTTGCAAAAATTTTCTTTTCTTTTTACCCCATTCACATATCAAATCAAATATACTTTTAATTTATCGTTGTAAATTCACAGTTGTTGAACTTCTTTTTTTTTTTTTTCAATAATAAATTTATTTGTTTGATTAGAAAAATCAAAAAAGCGCTGTAAGGACACTTGGAGTCTGTTTTCACTTTTAGCTCCAGGTGCGCCCTGCTTTGTGAGAGGCCTTGAGTTCCTTGATCAATCATCCGTCCAATGATTAATGCATATAGTTACTTTATTACTGACTAGGCCCAGAACTAGCCAGAATTAATGGAACTAACAAAGGCCCAAATTATTACTCTGCAATGCCCACTCTTGCTGCTTCGAGGTTCTCAGAAAAACAGCGTTACCATCACGTATCAGCAAAATAGGCTCTTGTGTAGACTGCCAAAGTTCTTCCATTATCGTGAGCATGCATAGGCTTCTTGAAGAGGCCACGTGTGTTTCTACTATGATGCGTTTTATTTGAAACGATCCTATCAATGTCTCTCTTCATTCAACTCCTTCATGTTAGCCAATCGTCAATTTTTCCCACAGTAGGTAGTCTGCAGACATTCAACTCGCCATGATGAAAATAGAAATGAAAAGCGCATAAAACAAACGAATTGGACTAAAAATAGAAACTATGCTAGTTTTGTATAAATTTAACTGAACAATATATTCGCCAGACTTCCATGCATACCGCAAGATGAGTTTTAAAAAACAAATAGATCCGGCATTTACTCCTTCCCTATCCACAAATTCCAAAGGTAAAATTCCCTTAAAAAATGAAGTAAACTATGTGACAAACACTAGTCTTACCACTCCTTCCATCAAATAAGAAAAGCACTCTTGGCAATCTCTCGTTCAGAGAAGGATAATCTAGTTCGAATGACCCTTGAGTCTGAAAATACAGATCTGATTTCAGAATCGTCGTCACGTTGGGACAAGTAAAGAAATTCTGATCCTCCTACAACATCCTCAAATCTCTTGTCGGTGCATGCCTGCTCTGAGATACCTTTGCGCTTATGTAGAGGTCTAGGCAAGGTTTCTTTTTTTCCTTCTTTTGTTAAAATTGGCGCTGTCTTGAATTTGGATTAAAACAGAACATTTAGACCTCGAATTTTGATAAGTTCGGAAAAGCATCTCAATTTTTTTCTTACCGGGGTTTCAATGCACGCTAGATTCTTGTGGAACTAGATTGAAGAGAAGCATCCACGACAGCCATGGTCAACGATATAACACCAACGCGTCTTGAGGTCTTATACCAGAATTCAGATATATGATTACTATTCCAGAATGAACAACACATAACGAATATATATTCTTTTTCACACAAAATGAATAAAATTTTCAGGGTAAAAATACTGCGATTGTGTTTTGCTGGCTTCTTGGGAATGGGTGTCTTTTCTCATGGAACAGCATGCTCACAATAGAAGATTATTATGTCTACCTGTTCCCGGTAATTACTTTAAACTAAGCTTTCCCTAGTGTATCATTAAATTACTCTGTTCTCTTTCTGTTATAGGGATAATGCAGATGTTATCATTCTTTGAATGAACTGCATTTTGTATTGACGTAATTTTCTCTCTTGTTGTTGTCAATCAATGCTTTCTCATCGTGCAGAATTACCACCCCTCTCGGGTGCTTACTCTTATATATCAACCATTTGCAATTACAACACTCGCAATACTGACATACTACGAGGCAAGAATGAATACTAGGAAACGGAACCTATTTGGATATACTCTATTTTTCATAAGCTGTCTGGCAGTGTTAATCGTAAGTTGTCTTCATTTGTTTGTAATGTTTGATTCTTCTGGCTTAGTTTTAACTTTTGCTTTCCTTTTTAAATTGACATAGTTGGATTTAGCAACGTCTGGTAAAGGAGGCCTCGGAACTTTCATTGGCATATGCGTAATTAGTGGAGCATTTGGAGTTGCAGATGCCCATGTACAAGGCGGAATGGTCGGAGACCTTTCTTACATGCACCCCACTTTTATGCAGGTAAGCATCAGTTCGTCATATAAAAACATGCCAAAAGATTCTGACATGACTCTATAAATGTTCATTTCATCGTCTGCGATTTGTGTTATGATTCTTTTCTCTTCTATGTTGCAGTCTTTCTTTGGTGGTTTAGCAGCATCAGGTTTCCTAACATCTGCTCTGAGGCTGATCACTAAGGCAGCTTTTGAGAAGTCGAAAGATGGTCTCAGAAAAGGAGCCAGTGCGTTCAACTCTTAAATACCTCTCAGAAGCCAAAAGGCTTTCTAAACGATCGCCCTCATCTATTACATTGCAATCATATCAAATAGATACTAACTACAAATATGTTGTGTTATTACTGCAGTTTTATTCTTTGCGATATCAGCATTATTCGAGTTTCTTTGCGTTTTCGTCTATGCGTTTGTCTTTCCTAAGCTACCAATTGTGAAGTACTACCGTTCAAAGGCAGCATCAGAAGGTTCCAAGACTGTCACAGCTGATCTTGCAGCCGGAGGAATCCAGGCATTACCGGAAAAGCAAGTCAGTAGTGCGTCTTAATCTCTTTCTTATTATCTTTGAACCAAGCGCTTGTTCACTGATCTCCAGAAAAGGGAGGTTCCCACAGGTCGACGAATTTGGAAACCTTATGGAGAGGAAAGGAAACAAACAACTACTGATGGAAAACATTGATTATGCGGTTGACATATTCCTCATTTATGTGTTAACACTCTCTATCTTTCCTGGATTCTTATCAGAAGATACTGGATGGCATGGTTTGGGAACCTGGTAGGTTCAGATAATTCACAACAAGAAATGTTCCTAGTTTGTCCTGATATATATAAGCAGCGGCGCTTGCCATTGTTTCAGGTATGCCCTGGTTCTGATTGCGATGTATAACGCGTGGGATCTGATAGGAAGATACATTCCACTGGTAAAAGTGCTCAAGTTGGAGTCGAGGAAGATGCTGATGATGGCAAGTGTAGGCCGTTTCTTAATGGTGCCAGCATTTTATTTTACTGCAAAATATGGAGATCAGGGCTGGATGATAATGCTAACGTCTGTGTTGGGGCTAACCAATGGTTATCTCACTGTGTGTGTCATGACTTCGGCACCACAGGGCTACAAGGTTAGTCGGCTAAGTATAGAGAATTAAATGAATATTCAGGTGTTAAAGGGTTATTATCAATAATGCTGTGACAATTTTTTCAATCTGTAGGGGCCAGAACAAAATGCGTTAGGGAACTTGTTGGTATTGTGTCTCATAGCAGGAATATTTTCAGGGGTTGTGCTTGACTGGTTGTGGTTGATAGGCAAAGGCTGGTGATTTAAGCCAACTCTAGTCTGATAATTTCATTTGTTGTGTTATGCTTCTATATTTATGGTTATAGAATTGGTAAGGAAACAGTACATACAGTTCTTAGTTTGTAAACACCGTGCTTCTACTCTCCTTCTTTCTGATGCTAACCAGAGGATCATGAAGCCTTTTGTTTTGCCGATGAAGACTGTTTGTAATTAGATATAGCAACAAGTCCTTCGCTGCATTGTTATTTTTTTTTCATGTTAGAAAAACATTATAACACAGCATGCTTTTTATTTGACACAAAGTATTTAAATTTAATTAGCAAAAAACTATTAAATTTTTTTTTTTTTAAAAAAGGCAAATGAATTAGTCAAAATTGAAAAGAAAGCCACCATATAATAAGCCCAACACTGATTTCGGCATCTGCATGCAAAAATAGAAACTTTATTATAAGTTATGATATATTATTCAAATCTTTTTCTATTTGACATATAATTAGTTTTTTTTTTTTGTAGCATTATCAAACTGAAGTGGGATACATTATTTATATGTTTTCATTATATTTTATTAAAAAATTAACTCTTCAGAAATATCATTAATTAAATATTTCATTTACTTCATAAAATAGATATAATTGATAAGTTGTAAAAATGAATAATCCTATAAAAACATAAAACATGAGATCCTTAAGAGGAAGGGTACATCATGAAATGAAACTCTTAAACTCACCAGCAATAAACATGAGATCCTTGATATTTATTTGTCTGATGTTTTTGTGAACATGTGATGCTTCAATCAGTTCAAATTATCTTTCAAAAGAAAAATCATTTGCACAGCCAACAGCAATAGGCGTCGCCATCGCCATCTCCACTCCAGACACGAATGTGAAGCCCATTTTGAGATGAGATGGACGTGGTCCTGCCTTGTGGATCGGAGCCTACGTGATTAATTGCATTCTTTGAGGGCTCTGAATTGGGTGTTTGGCCTTTTATAAACAACAGATCATGAAGGCTAAGAGACCATTCGTAATTCTGATGCTTATTTTGATTCCCTTTTGTCGAGTTAGCCCTCTTGACGCATTTAATTAAGAACCACCATTTGTTGAAATCATAGAGAAGAATTAAGATTAACACAGCTCAATTGCAAATGTTAGAAGATCACATGCAGCTCCGTTGCATAAATTGTGGGTTCAATAGAAAGTGGTTAATCAATTGATCTTCTCGTCTTCAAGACTTGGTCTTTTAGTTTCCAATATGTAATTAAGTTTTAAATGTTCATAATTTAGAACTTATTTACAAGTTATCTTTCATAATTTACAATGGACCCGTTTGGAATAGCTTATAAATAACTTTTCAATTATGATTTATGAAATACGAGATAAGTATGTGAAAAGAATTTTATTTCAATTTACATAAAACATGCTTATAAGTAATTTCTAACATTTTGCCAAACAAACCCAATATTTCTGTATATACAAAACCTTCATAATTCATAATAAATGACACGTAAATCATTTTCTACGATTGACAACCGAACTCGAGGAATTTACAGCTGAAAAATGGTCTCCACGTCATTTTTCTTTCGTGCAAAACATTACTACCAAAAAAAAAAAAGAAGAAGAGCACATAATTTAGTCCTGGCAAAAAGGCTGTTGTGGGGATGATGAAGCTGGAAATCAAGAAGTACTGTGTTAATTATCAAAGCAGTCCTAAAGAAGGCGGAAATGATTATGAATAAAATAATCAAATTACTCAAACAATACAGTAGGAGTGATTAATTTATAACACACATCACATGTGCCTAGTTTTGGCCCCATTTATATGACAGACATTCAACCGCAATTGTCTCCCCTAAACTCTCAGGAACCGCGGTTTTCTTATCCTCGAGATTTGTAGGTTTAGCCTTTTACATACTTCCTAATTTCTCTCGTTGACTTTTGTTCCCAACATAGTGCCTGCGTGAGTCCTTAACATAAATATAACAGTTTATTCAATTTTTTTATTTTAAATATAAAATTTTAATATACTTTGTTTTTTATGTTTATTTATTTTTTTAAAATAATTCTTATAGCAATAATAATAATTTTAATCAATACACTTAATTAGTAAGGATATTTTAAAAAAACAATACATATTTATTACAAATAATTAACTCATTTTTTCAATTTATCCAAATTAATTAACTAACTATATAGTATTACTTTAAGCTTTTGTGCGAGTGTAGTTTTATAGTATCATGTAGTGCTACCATGGAAACTTGTATGAATTTTGAAGTGAGTCCCACATTCTTCAGGAACTGGACCGACATACTCAAATCAAACTTAGGAAGTTCTTTCCAAAACTAGCCACCATTTAAGTTCAAAATTTAAATAAATTTAAATTACAAATGCTTGTTCTATTCTGCTGAAAACCCCCTATATTCAACTCATAATTTTTATCAATCAAAATGCAAGGATATTGACAAAATTAGGAAGCACCATCACTATCCAGATAATTAAAGTAGTAATATAATACATAGACAGAGACAATAAGTAGGAATGATGATTCTATATATTTGAGGAAGGCAAAAGAATGAATGAGCAAAATGGGAGGGAGAAAGCTTAAGAAATGCTGGCGCCATATACAGACACATCCATCTGACTAATCTATCTGGAAGATAGAGGAGAGAAATGTACAGGAGAACAAAACGACAACAAGTCCCTCCAAAACGGTGCTGTCGTACATTCACGTGACCCCGACAGATCCCACCAAGACACAGTGCGGAACGTTGCACAGAGCATCCCACCAACTGTACCCCTAAACCAAAAGAGACGCCAGAATGATGATCATCTGAAGAAGCGTGACCCTAACATTCAACGGTGAGGATGGCGCCTTGTCCTTCTCGAACTGCAGCGAATCAACGGCCAGCGGCATGTTCTCCTGGTCCGGACTACACTTGGACTCATGTGGGTGTGCACTGTACATTATTGCCCTCAACACCGCCGATACCGTCGGTATGTACACCGTCTTGTTCCTCGCCAGCAGCCACGTCAACCCCATCAGCTGACAGTCCCGGTTGAACATCTTGCTCGCTCTGTCTCCCCCTCCCTCCTTCGTCCCGTTCTTGTTCCCTTTCAGCTGTCAGGTAAAAAGGCCAAAAATTAACAACTTCAACACGTAAAAGTCTTGTTGCAAGTTATGGTTTCATTTCAACATGTCACCAAAAGTGTTCGCGTTGATTTATAATTTATATCGAGGGGAAAAAAGTACCTTTTGAAGGGCATTGAGGCATTTGGTGCAACCAGCATAGGAAGAGTTGCGACAATTCTTCTCTAAATTTTTCACGGCAGAAGTTGGAGTGGCCATGTGGGACCCGGAGGAGCTGCCGTTGTGGGCTCCGGTGAGGTTAAACGCGCCGGGGCAGCTGAGGGAGGTGATCTGGTGGAGTCGAATGCCGCAGAAACAGAGGACAGCATCGCAGGTGGCGTTGGGTTGTGGAATCCTAATGTTGCGACTCGTGAGCGAGTCTTGGAGCGAGTTCACGCACTTCTGGGAGTCATCCGGCATCATTGGAAGAAGGTCGCTGCCGGATACTGGAGCCGGAGCAGGTGCGGACACCTCCAGCGCCGAGCGAGCGTGAGCGGCAAAGAGCCAGGCGGCCAGAACCGGACAACATCGGCTGCGGTCGAGGTTCTTGCCGCAAGCGTCCCTGACGCCGCCGAATAACTCTTTGGAGAGGTCGAGGCGACATGTGGGGGTCTGGCTCTGGACCGGGAAAGCGGGAACGGTCACCGGTTCGGCGAGAAGACCAGCGAAGGAAATGGGTAATGTGGAGGCGAAGAAGACTGAGACGAGAACAGGGATGAATGATTGCATATTTTGAAAGTTTTAAAACCGAAGGTGTTGACTGAGGGAGAAATATAGTAAGCAAGTGAGTGGGATGGAGACTTTTATTTGGGAATGGAGAAAAGGGAGGGAACAAAAAAGGGGAAAATAATTCAGGAGCAGTGGAGAAAGAAGGATATGAGGGCAAGTAGCAGAGGCTTTTTATGCCTAGGAGATGGAGAGCTTTATAAGAAAGGTGAAAAGGGAGGCAAAGATTCTGTAAGATATTGAAAAGCAGGAGGAGGGAGTGAAATCAAAAGGGGTTTACTTTATTATTTTAATTTGTTTAATTGTTAATTAGAGGACGATAATCATAAAAGGGTTGATGAGAACGGAATAATAACGGTGGTAAAAGAAGCTTTAAACAAAGATAAAGTACTAAAGCGGCGTGTTGCCAGGGGAAATGGTGGGGGATGAGGAATGGGTTAAATCGCAATCCACGTGAGAGAACAAGAAAGTGTTCTCTCAAATGCACAGATAGATGCTCAGCCTCCATAATCACCCAACAAGCTCAATCCCTCTTGAGTTTTTATATTTTTCTTGGTATTACTGCTGTAACTATCCTATTGTGCTCTATGATTCCACTCCTTGAGAGAAATCTGAGTTGTATGGTTGGATAATAGTAGTTAAATAAAATGCATGTGAACAGTGGTGCTATTAAAAATATTCACAACGAGGCTGGGAAAATAATAGGGCTCAAGATGTGAGGAGTTGCGAGTTTGATATCTGAATTTGTGAAAGCCTAATTCTCTAATAAAGAAAACAAAAGGTTGTGACAGGCTTTACAGAGAAAAGAATGTAGCAGCTAGGTATTGGCATGTCAAGTGTCCAAATTAAATAGACCTCTTTTAATTAATCTAAGGATCAATACAAATGTTAGTTTTTAAATTTATTTTTATTTTAGTTTTGGTTCTTTTAAGTTTTTTTTATTTAAAATATTGATCCATATAATCCAATAAAAACTTAAATTATTTTGTCTATTGAGAAATCAAAATCTATTATTTAAAACTTAAAATACTAAAATAAAAATGAGAACAGATTTAAAGAATGAGGGATTATATTATATTAACCTCTTAATTTATTTCATTTATAGTGAACACATTAATCAGAGAGTTCATTGGGGAAAAGCAAGTGGGTGTGATATGCAATTAGACAGTAGAAAGTAGAGATTCCTTGTGATAAGAAGAGGGGGTGTCTCAGAATTTGGCAGGTAGTGATGCTGTGTGTTCTAAATGTTCATTATCTTTGCGATCTCACTCGTTTGTTTGTTTGCCCCTTTTCTGGGAGTGCGTGGATGTGGGCGCCATTCTAATATTTAAAAATGCTCATCAGCGGTTTGTTTAGTGGGATTGGAGTCTCGACTTTTCTGCTTTACCAATCAATCTTGGTTTAGTATCCATGCTCCCTTCTTTATTGAAAACATATATGATCTAGTTTCTAATTCTTTGTACTCAGCCTCATATATAAATCATTATTATGGCTCATGTATTGATACATATTGATGGGTTATGATAAATTTTTTTAATTTAACTTCTCCTGGAAGACAGGGGTGTTGTGTTTTGTCTACATTTTTAACCTTGTTTCTTCTTGACCTGAAATGCATTCTTAGTCTTTGGATGCTGCAATCTGCTGACTTAATGCAGATGCCTGCCTCTTCTTGGCACATACCGAGATTTTCTCCTTTTTGCTCCGTTCCTTCAAATATCTCGCAGATCACAACAAAAACAACCAGAAATATCGATAGTTATTATTTGATTGAGTGAGAAGGACTGGGTATAAAATTAAGAACTTGAATTTATGAATTAAAAAAAATCATGTTGCAAAAACTACGTTTAATCAGACTCATCCATACCCTAGTGATTATTCCAAGTTATATAAGGCGCAATAATACTTAAATCTAATACCATAATATATCACATAATTATATAAAAATACAAATATATAAAATTATGAATAAAAGTATTACAAAAATCGACATATAACCTTTAATAAAGTTCTGAGAGTTATACTCCACTTTAAAGGAAAAAAAAAGTTGCAAAATCATTCATTTTAAGACAAATTCTTTATATCATAACCTTGAAAAAGATCAACATCAGCAAAAGTTAAAATTAAAGGGATGCAGTTTATACTCGGGGTATGAACTTTGTAGTGGCGACTCTGCATTATTTGTAGCTGTGGGCGATTGTTTAACCTGAACACGTAAAACAAACAGAGAGTGGTCACCATTTTGGAGCAGGGACAAAACACATGTTTACAAGCATCCAAAGCCTGGATTCATTTGGGAAGAAGATGCCTCATATTCTGCTTTTCCTACCAGACAACCCAAGACGATGTCCAGTAGGTTTCGATTCAAGCACGCATATATTCATCTCACGGGTGAATTATGGAGATTGTTGAATGAGCGACAAACGGAAAGCGTCAATGTAAAAAGGAAAAAAAAAAAAACTAAAAAAAGGGAGCTTTGGAAAAAGCTTCCAACAGCTCTTTCTTTCTCTGCCCCCAATAATGCTGTTTCTTTGGGTCCCGCTTCCTGCAAATAATGTGTCCTTGAAAAAGAGACGCCGTCCCCTCCCCCCAACTTTTGCACCATTTCAGCCTTACCTTACTTACCCTCAGTCTAATCACTGTTAGGATTAGGTTTTCAAAGGCAGATGGTTAGGTTGGGGTTAGCGACGTCGTTGGTAATTGAGCTCCTATAGAACTATATAAACAACAAAAAGTTGAAGCCAAAAGGAGGCAATCATAGCGTCTAAGAATCCAGCCTTACGGGACCCAATTCTATCTTCTCTCTTCGTACCCCTTGCCTGGTTTTGGATTCGTCGTCTTCTTCTTCTTCTTCTTCTTCTTCATCAGTTTTTCATATTTTGTCTGCAACGTTTGAACAGAAATCTTCTTAATGCCGATCTCAGCCACGAGTTGGATACGATTTTCTGGGAGCGTAGGGAGTGAAAATTATGTTTGGTGAATTAAATTATGCAAGATGTAATGGTGCCACAAGAATAGTTTGGGTCATGGTTGGTTTTAGAAGAGGCTGAGGCCCTGTTTATGTTTATAATTTCTTGAAAAGTTGAAATCATTAGGTAATGAGAGGTTGGTAACTCGTAAGTGGATGGTGTACGTTGGTGGAAGTGCAACACTTTTAAGCAGGGAATGTAAATCCAACCTGGACACCACTAATGGGTCAGCCGCTGGCTCTTTTTATCTTTATCTTAAACAAATAATAATACCTACATGATTTCATATGACTCCACTCTTTTAGATCTCATCTCACCTGTTTCCCATTGTTATATACAGTACATGCCTTTCAGATATATATAGTATTTTAACGAAGCCAACCCTTGAAGACCAAGAACAGACATCTATACACAAACTACTTAGGTTTTGTTTGGATCGACAAATAAAAAGCTGACCAAAAGTAATTTTCTTCTTTTCTTTTTTGTTTTTTTGAATGGAAAGGTTTATTTATCTAAACAAATAAGTACATAACGGGTGCAAAACAACAAAAGCAAAGGCTTTAGTCAAGTCTTAAAGTTCTGTGATTGACTAAAGCCCTCCTAGTATAATCAGTTAAGAGGGTGTTTAGGTAACTCAATAAACATTTTTTAATAAATCGAGACAAATCTTTTGTATATTTTTTTGTTTATTATAAAAGTACTTTTAAAATTATAATTTTGATCTTACCTAAACACCTCTTTAGACATAGAACTTCATTGACTAGACGGTGGCTTTGAACCACTTCATTGCAAAATAGACGCTGATCTTTGGCAGACCAAAGTTTCTAGCAGAGAAGGCCAAAAGTGACTCTCCAGTTCGGGTTTCTCTTGTTCATCTTGTGATTATCCTCTATCCATCTGTCATAAGGGAGACGGTGAAAATATTGCCTCTGCTCAACTGGAATAATAATGAGGTCCCAGCAAAATGTTGCAAACTTGCAGTTGCGAAACATGTGGTTCAGGTCTTCCACCTGTCCATTGCATAAATCACAGTGATCGTTTTCTGTCATTTTCCTCCGCATTCGTTCCTTGTTGGTGAGTAGCCGGCCATTCAAGACAAGCCAAAGAAAGGTTCTAACCCTTTGTGCACCAGGCCACTTCCAAGCAAGGCTCTAGCGAGAATCCTTGGAATTCCATTCTGTTTCAGTGATTGTCCGGTAAGCTGAGCAAACTGTGAAGCATTTGGATTGGTCATTTGACCATTTTCTTACTACCGGGGAGTGGGGGGGCAGGGGGGTTTGAGTAATTCTCTTCTTTTTTATTAAACTAATATAACTTTTGATTCATCAAAAGTTGACAAAAACATTTGGTTTAAAACTTGAAGAATTAAAATTAAACTCAAAGCAAACTCGAATAACAAAATATTATATTAATCCTTCATTATTTTCATATTTCTAGATGATGAATAACGAGTATTTTTAACGCTAGCCATGTTTCTTTTTTGCGATTCGCTGTAAATTGTGATCGTTGGACGAATCTTTTTTCCTTTCGCCTGGTGAATTTTGCTCCAACTTTTTGCCATACATGATATGAGGCCTTAAGGGCTCTAAGTGAATTGGGCCAGTGACAGTATTTGGGCCAATATTTTAGAGTCCGTTGTCGGAACCACCACTGACCCCATGGCGGGCCTCTAAAATCGGGACCATTCTTCAACCATTGCCACCTGATCAGAATCCAAACACATGAACCCACGTCGCAGAAAATAGAGAAGAATATGAGACTCCATTTGGAAAGGAAGAAAATGCATGAAATTGAAGAAAGAAGTAAACATTCCATTTACACACGCGTCAACAACTTCGTCTGCCTCTGAAACGAGAAGGGTTTAACGTGTTAAAGGCTGCTATGGACTGTGGTAAAAATTAAGACGAACACGTTATCCATGGTTTGGACCATAAGCTTCCAAATCACACAACTTCAGTACAAAAGCAGCTTCTTTTTCCCGTGGGCGGTAGAGAATAAGGGCAATACCACAATGGATCGAGCAAGACTAAGCAAATAATTAATAATCGAAGACCGCAGAAAGATGACATCAGAATTAAATATGATAATTTAGACTGTGATGTGAGTCTTCCAGTGTTGCGTATCTTACTGAGACAGGCATATATGTCTGTGTGTTGAGCTTCTGAAGGAAGGTTTGGGACAATAATATTCAAACCTAATTGGG